TATAAATATATATATATATCGATCATGCCTTATGTTCTCTAATTGTTCGAAACATTCCAACACAACACATACTCATATAATGATTGAGAGAGAAGAAGAGTAAAAATGAGAAGAAGTCACGTACAAACAATGATAAGTGATTGAAATAAATACACATACACTGATTTCAATCTAGTCTATAGAATGATTCGATGATCGATCGTTCTTAGTTTGTTGATCAGCTGCATAGATTTCAATATAACTGAAAGAAATATTTTCTTCCAGTAGAAATACTTCTCAACATAAATGAACAATCAATCTTTTTGTTGAATTCAAAAACGAAATATTCTACCATTGCTTTTTTTTGTCTATAATAATATTTGTATTTAATTCATCAATCTAATTAAATCGATTAATGCTTCATTACTTCATTTGTTATATATTTGTATTCAATGAAATTTCTATATCCGTATCTTTAACAATTTCATTTTCTCTACTACAATTGTCATAAAAACGACCGTCACACTTTATTTGATCACTAATTTACACAAGGTGAAAAAGTAATATTGTTTAATTATTAGTTCTATTTAAAATAAAACCTCATTTACAACTACTAGTGATACTTCATTAATTAAATATATGTATATATCCTTCATACTTCTTCGATTTCTTTTCATTTACATCATCAATCGTATATATATAAATATAAGAATCTCGTGTGAATATAAAAAAAGAAGAAATATCTTAGGTTTTAAATCATTTTCTATTTTCACTTCTTATCATTGATGATAATGATGATACATAACTTAAACATATATGTTAGTCAATAAAATATCGAAACCTCCTCCCCTTTTGCCGCTTATGATGATTATAATCGCATGCGTTTCTTTTTTTTTATATATCCATATTGATTGATGATCAAGCTATCGTCATCATGTTTACACGACGAACAGATATTATTTTAATCGAGTTAGTCGCCTAACATTTTCTCTTTCTCTCTCTCTCTCTGTTTATATGTGCATGTTCACAGAGGCGTAGTTTCACTTGTCATCAATACTATACAAACGAGTTGTGCGCCCTGTCATTTAGGTCGGCATGATGTGTAAAAAAAAAGGGGGAAAAAAAAGAAAGAGGGGATCTCAAAATGATAAGCAATGAAACGGATCAATAGCAAACATGAAATTAGTTCTGATTATCCTGTCAACAACAACATCGTTTTATGATCTTCCGAACTGATAGAATAACTTCTTCTTTTAACATATGTGATAATCAATTGCTAACCTTTTCTCTTTGACTTGCTTGATTTCTAAATGATTTTCTCGCCTCATTTGCTGTCATAATCGGTTTTGCAGAAAAGAAAGTTGTCTGTATATTCATTAAAAGAGTCTATTAACGAAGCAGCGAAAAAAAATAAGGAACTTCTTTCTTATTTTTCTTTTGATGTATCATTATTACTTGATAATAGCAATATAAGCTTTCTGCTCGTCTTCATCATCATCATCATCATCATTCATATTAGTTTCTTTTTTTTCTTTCTCGTTCTCTCTCTCTCTCTGTTACTTGATAGAGTAGACATATCGCAAGTATCTTTTTACATGATTGGTTAGACAAAATGATACGTATAGCTTACAATACATGAAGAAAAAGAGAAAAAATGGAGAAACTGTTATTGTGATTGTCCAATCATATTAAAGAGAAAGAAGCGAGTTAGAAAGAAAAAAAAAATAATTTACACCATCACTTAGCTATTCGACTCATACGCAGTAGGTAGTGTATATTATAGTTGTCAAAGGTTCAATTATGGGCGCCAATGATCATCAACTGTATCTATCTTCACCTGATTCAACATATTCAAGATCATCATCAAGATCATCACAATCATCAACTTCATCAGTATTATTAAATAAAACTCCAATATCATCAAAAAGTAAATCATTCTTAATTTCGGATATATTAAAACCAAATTTTGGTAATCATAATATTGAAAAATCAAACATTCCTTTATCATCATCATCACCAACAACAACAAATGATTCATCATCATCATCGAATGCAAATCGTGGAGAAGCAGGGTTCCCAGCATGGGTTTATTGTACAAGATATTCTGATCGACCATCAGCAGGTAAAAAAGAAATTTTTTAAATAAAAAACCAAACAAACTATTTTTTTTCTTCATTTAGGTCCTCGTGCCCGAAAACCTAAACCATGCGAGACAATTGATTCCAAACGGCCACGAACTGCATTTACAAGTAGTCAATTAGCACGTTTAAAAGATGAATTTGATCGAAGTAAATATTTAACGGGCGAACGTCGACAAGTTCTAGCTAATGAATTAGGTTTAAATGAATCACAAATTAAAATCTGGTATCAAAATAAACGTGCAAAAATAAAGAAAACTTCAGGTGTACGAAATACATTAGCTTTACAATTAATGGCACAAGGTTTATATAATCATGTATCGTCCATGAATAAAAACTCTTGAGACGCCGACTAGAGGAAAGCAAATTAATTTTTATGCAAACCTTCTAGTCAAAATTTTCTCTTCTTTCTTTCTTTCTTTCTTTTTTTTGTTATTATTTGTTGTACAGCGATTTAAATAAGAAATATATAGAAAAAGTGATTTTCCTTTGTATCATATACAGAAGCAACAACTGTTTATTATAATCGATCATTTATTTGTCGATGCAACAGGTCGAAGTCGGTATATTTGATTGAAGTAATGATATCCACCAAGAATCTTTCTCTTGTTAATTCGATAAATATAGAGTAGAATGCATTGATTACACACACAATATGTGCTTATAAAGACTCAAGGGAAATTTTAAATTACACTTTTCCTTTTCTATATAGTCATGGCGGCATTTGGTCGACTAGCATATAAAAATTTAATGAGTGTATATGGTTAACTGATTGGCAAGAATGAAAAGATAGTCAATAATTTTAAAGATTGTTTCAATCAACTCCACCCCCTATTTTTACTTATTTTGATCTTTTACAGAAAATAAAAATGAGCAGGTGCAAATATGGGAGTGACCAATAACTATGATGAACTTCAGAGAAAGAAAGATTGACATGAAAGTCAACTAGTTTGTCATGCAAACTTCATATTTGTTATCTGATATTTCTAGTTGTTTGATATAAATATTTTTATTGAAGATCATTAATCTATTGTATCTAATCATTATAATAATAAGTTTATAAATATCTATTAATTATAATTAACAAAAAATTTACTAAAAATGAAAATGATTGGTTTATAGACTGATATAAATATTAAATAGAAATTTCATCTGATGCGAACAATATAGAATATTATTTTCATTTAATTATTATTATGACATAAATAAACATTTTACTGAACTAAATATTGAAGAAAAATTTTGATTTCAGATAACAAATAAAGCAGTTGATTGCGTAAAAAATTTATACATCGAATGAATATAAGATACATGATAATTTTATACATAAGTATCTTAGTTAAGATAGAATCGGTAAAATCCAATGAAGCTTGACAAACATTATATTATCTATGTAATGACATAAAAAGAAAAGATAGTTATTTACATTCTATATTTAATACAAACCGAAAAAAAAACCACAGGAGTATCTTTTATTATAAAAAAAAACTATTTTATTTTTAATGTTGAGAAAATCATTGAATATTTAAATTTGTTACATATCGATAAACATTCTCCAAATTTGTTGGTTTTGTTCTGGATAAATGTTTTAAGGAAATTTTCCATTCAATAACTATAAGAAATTATCTTCCCAACGATAGTAACAAATCTATTTGGTTATTACATAAAGAGAAATATAATCACAATAACTATGCCATTGATGCATACTGTAGTAATTAAGGCATTCCATCCGTTTTTTCTACGATGAGTAGACGTTCTCATCGAAAAATACTTGATATTTGTTTTATCAGGAAAAGATAATTTAAAATTTTTACATTTGTCAATATTTTATTATCGAAAATTATCACATATACGAATATTCATCATTAACCCTTTAACTCCCAGCAACGTATATGTGATTATTAAACAAAAGCGCCTGTAATTTATTCTTTAACTGTGTCAAATATCTTTTCATATTTTACTAGGTGATGTTAAACAAATGCAATGCTTCTTTCTTTCTTTTTGTATGGCTGTATGTACTTGTCACAATATTCGATTTCAATTTATATAGTCATAAAAATATTTTTTCTTAAAACTAATTTATTTACATAAAATTTCTAAATTAAATAAAAATACAATATTTCTTAATAATATTAATGAACTATTTTCATCAGAAATGTTGTAAATGATATTTTTATGGATAATAATTAATTTGAATAATTAAATATAATTCATACACCACCACCATGAAATAATCAATCAATAAATGAACTAACTTATTTAAAATATAGAAAAAAAAATCATCATTTAGTTTATTCAGCTTAATGGTTCTTGAGGGTGTGTATGAGAATCCTTCTTCTTTATCTTCATTCTCAAGATGGATTACATCAAAATAAATTCAGTGTCTTCAATCGCATCCACACTCCGAGTAAATCGTATTTATTAAAATAAGAAAGAACGTATATGTCGAGTACATACGAATTGATTCAAATCACATAATACTCATTTCATGATCTTTATTAGATATATAATACTCTAGATTAAAAGATTTTGAATACATGAGCAGAAATAAGAGGTTTTACAACGGATAGGAAAAAGATAAATGTCTTTGCCTTAAACACACTGTTTTCATTTCAAAATTCATAACAAACCAATCTCTTCTATATATTAAATATATTTTAATTGATGTTGTTTACGGAAGTGAACCGTTAATTGTTCAAGATACTTAATTGTATAATAATATGTCATAGTTTCGCAGAAGATCTCACATAGTTTACCAATGTGTAATCTGATCAAATATTGATGTACAATTGTGAATGGTGAGTTTCTGTCTATACCTTGTCTTTAATAATCATTTACTCTTACATTAAACTATAATTATCAACGGTATGTTTGAAAGATAAATTTATCAAGTTATTAAGGTAATTTTTGATCGAACACTTTTTGACAAAGTCGTGCTTCATAACTGGTGAAGTTGTTGTACATAGGTCATTTATATTTACTATTTAATATATTCATATTCTAATATAATGTTATTCTTGATCTATACACTTAGTTGATTGACTAAGAGTTTTGCAAGATAATAAAGACCATCAATTTTATGTTTGTTAACTTTTTACCATATAAATGTTTTGTTTCTATAGTGATTGAGTATATCATATTAGATTATTCGTTAGTTGAATTCAAATTTGTATAATTCAAGTTTTTGAAGCATAATATGTGCTTCGATAATAGTTCGATCAAGACGTAGTTACCATTGACATCGAGAATAAACTATTCATATTAACCTTTTCAAACCATTCAACTATCGTCGAGAAGCTAATTTCTTCGAAATCTATAACATATTAGTATTCTTGTCGATTGTTTTCGAAATGTTGCAAACAGTTACTCCAGAGGAAGATCATCATCAAGAGTGACAGCATCCGTAGGCATTTGTCGAATAGTATATTTGATTTTGACGATTCAGTAATTACAATTTTTATCAAGTTGTTTCCATATTTTGAGAATTTTTCGATACCGTTAAGAATTAGTGTGTAGTAGAATAAAGAGAGACATGGAGAGAAGAAAAGTCCGGAAAGATATTCCTCTTCTCGCTCCGCATTTACATAAATAAGAAAAAATTATATGAGAAAATACATTTTTATAGAAAGTGAGAGTTACTAAATCGATATAATGATTTTGAGTTGACATTCGAGAAAATGAACACATACATGGATATTTAAATCTTATAATCATATAGTTAGATAGTTAACAATAAATTACAAAATATTTTTTCTTCGTTATTTTGTGACATAATATACAGAGTTAGATGTGAATGGTGTAGTTGTGATTATCTTTATTTCAAATCTACACCCACACTCACACGTATATCTGCTCAACCAAAACCACCTCCATTCAACCACACCCACTCACGCCCTCAATATCCATTCAAACATATATTGAAAAGGTCAAGATTTTTTTCTCAGTGATGTAACAAATATGAGTCAAGCAATAACTACCTTATATATATATATCATATATTAATGATAAACTGACTCACAATTATACCTTTTGAGGCTGTATTATACTAAAGAAAATGCATGTTTGCTCCAGTTATACTGCTTTTGTGTATCGTAGTAAGATTAGGTAAGCATGCGCTAATGATCACCCTGTGCAGTATTTTTTGCGATCAATACTGTTCTACTTTATCAATTATTCATTTTTACTTGTGAAATCTTGAACTAGAATTACATTTTCATATAATTATCGATGATATTATTCTTATTTTTCATAATATTTTAGATATAAACTATTTTTCGACATTTTTTCATTATATTACTATAATCATGCCGGGTGACAATGAATGGAATGGTAAGTTAAATTGATTATTATAATATATGTATATATCTATATATGATTATTTTTATGTATTGTAGAAGATTTATTTGGTTGTTGTAATGATTGCGGTTCATGTTGGTATGGATTTTGCTGCACACCATGTTTATTTGGTTCAAATGCCCATAAAATCAGTGGGAGGAATTGTTTTTTGATGTGTTGTGCATATGGACTTTTAACTGAATGTTACTTATGCTGTATTCCTCATTATATGGAACGACAAAACCTACGTCAAAAATATAATTTAAAAGAAAATCCAGAGTGTGGTGACCTTCTAACAACGATATTTTGTGGTCCATGTGCACTTTGTCAAGAAGCTCGTGAAATAAAAGGCAGAGGTATATTATATATAAAACATATATATAAAAGATTTTGTGTTTCTTTTTGATTAGAGGGCCCAGCACAAGCCGCTTTTAAGCGTGGTGGAGGTCCACCAGTTGTTTCACAACCAATGTAAGATCCAAAATATATTTAATTGTATTAAATCAAAATTAAAATGATATTACTTCTTTTATATTTTCTTATGTTTTATGTGTAAAAATAAAAGTCGTACATTAATCTACCAAACTATTTGTTAAAAAATCTTATCTTATTGTTTCAAATTTTTTCTAATAAAATGATGTTGGTGAAAAAATTCTGTAAAAAATGGCTAACTTGTCTTATTTTTAATGAGAAAAAGTATAGCAAAGATCACACTTTACACGCAACAAAAAACACATAATTAATGAATAAGCCAAGAGACGTACTAACTGTTGTACACATGGACTCCCGGCAATATATATATGATTATTAAACAAAGTTGCTTGTACTATATTCTCTAGCTGTGTCGAATATCTTTTCATATTTTACTAGATGATGTCAAACAAATGCAATGCTTCTTTCGTTTTTATAACTATATGTACATCTCACAATATTCGATGTGATGATATCCCTCTATGTATTGTCGATTGCTTTAAAGGCTATCTCACAAAGATGAACTATTAACACATTTTTAACATAATAATATTTTATTTTTCTAAAGAAATTCCGCCAAAAAAAAGTCGGGAGTCAAAAGGTTAATATATATCCTAGTTAAATATAATTTAGTAAAAATAGACTAAACATTTTTCTTCTATTTTCAAAGTTATGATATGGTTTATCCGATATCGTATCTTGCTGGTTTTATTACTATGTTATTATCAATATTCCGTATCTTTGCCATCTATTTATAGTGATTATATTTCTTTTTAACATGAAATCTATGAAATGTAAGTCATTTTATTGAATATAATAATTAACTACAGAATAAAGATATAATAAGATCTATCGAAGTTCAATATAGTTTCAAAAAGAAGAAGATTTTAGTAAATAATTCTCTTCGAAAAAATGCAATAGCAAATTAAAACACGACATTTCAACAAACTTTTCCAAGTATAAAGATTAACAATGACTTGTTGCAACTGCACAAACAACAGCTCCTGATCTAGATAGATATGCAGGATCGGATGATTGTATTGAATCATAATCATTCCTGGATGAACAACATGCAATACAAGCTCTTAGTATCATTATAAAAATGAATAGACTAATTATAATAGTGAATATGATTCCTGCAAGTGTTGGTCCATTCGATTGTGAATAGCAACGTCTATTAGCAGAGATACCACATCGTGTATTTGCTAAATCAGAAAAAGAAATACATTAAATTTGACTCCATTGACAATATAAATATTACTTGGACAACAAAATGTGTGTGAAGAATTTCCACATATTTCTCCTAATTGAAAAATATTATCGAAACTTAAACTATTTTATTATTTTATTTAAAATTCTACCATGTAAACATAAATCTGCCGATGTATAAACTATCAATGTTAATAGAAGTCCAATTAAAATAAATTGTGACATTAAATATTTATTTTGAAGAAACGACAAACAAATTTGATAACTTGCTACTAAGTTTTATAGTTAATAAAACAAACTGATAAAATATCACAACATGTTTATTATTATAAAAAAAATAGATAAAATAAAAAAGTTGTTTCTAAAAATAAGTATGATGAATTTTCTACTCTCATTAATATAAATGAATAATTTTATTGATTGTATCAGGATAGAATATTTTTTTCTAGTATTTCAAATTCAAAGTTTACTTGTATAATTAATTTCATTAATAATGAGCTTGTCTTCCTTATACAACTAATTCTATCTTAGAAACGACTTAATTATGTTGTATACGATCATTTTTCTAATAATATATGAGCACATAGGGTGTATAATTAGATTTATTTATGTCATTACGTAAATCAAAACAATCTACTAATGAAGACTGGGGCTGGTAAATTCTTTGATTTTATTTTAATTTTTATAAATATTTTTAGGTTACGCGATACGGATTCAACCTTATCTGATGATATATCAATCAATGGAGTTAGTTTTATTTGAAATGAAATCGATGAAAATTTAGTTTTGTTTTTCTATATAGATCGGTGTATTGGCTATACATTTACATAAATTAATTATTAATAAATCATTTTATTTTAATTCTCAAGAAATATCTATCGATACATTTCGTATATGTATTAATGCTTATGCATTAAGTCGATATTCAAAAACTATACGTATATATTCAACTGAGAATTTTGCACGATTTGATCAAACAATGCAATTTATAATTCGTGTAAAAGAAAACATAATTAAGTTTTATAATTATAATTTTATTTAGATCTATGATAAACGTCATGATAAACGACATATTATTCATGTTATTCTCTATGGTTATCTAGATAAAGAAAAACGATATGTTTTAATTGCTGATCAAGTCATTGATAGTATTAAACTTATCTCAGTAAATTATATTCATTGTTACGATAGGGATTTATTCTAGATGAATGTTTTAGGCTCGACATATCAGTGAAGCTGTTGTATTTGAAAGTTCTATTGATATTTGTGTAAGTAATAAATTTCGATCCGAATTCATATTATACAAATAGAAATTATAGGGAAAAGCAACATTATTAATCGAACTAATTTTTGTATATGGTAGACATGGATATAATTTTAGTTCACAAGTAAGAAAATTAGTTTTGAAAAAATCTTCTAATAAAATTTTGTAAATAGAATAGTTGATTTTTCAAAATGATATTCACCATCAGAATCCTATTAAAAATCAAACATTATTCGAACGTATTCTTCCAACTGATAGAAGTATGCACCAATAATAAACAGATATATATTGTTTTTATTATAGAAAGTTTATATGATCCTCCTGAAATTGATTTACCAATATTATTAAAACTAACATTTGATGAATTAGAACAGTATACAACTGATAATAAACAACTGTATCATACAAGAGATCAAATACAAAATAGTAGAGTTGTCAAAGCTTTGTCAACAAGTTCAAAGTATAAATATAAATCATAAATATCTTTCAAAAAGATTTATAATCTAGATATTCATCTATGACAGCCATAATGGAAATGTATCCATTAAGAAAACAACGTTTGGAAACACTTTTTAATTTTCTAACTGAAGGTCCTTATTCACCTGAACAAAATATTATTGAACCAACTGCTGCACGTCTAATTCCATCGAGTATAACCTATTGGAAACGAGGTTTATCCGGTGTACCTCTACATGGTAATGCTTTAGATATGAATGAATATCATCATATTGAGGTTAGTATAGTTTTATTTCAGTAATTTACTCAAATGATTTCATCTTTTTCGAGTATCAGTGATCGTAGTACATGTTCTTTTGAACTTTAGCATCTATAATAACACTCCGGTTCATTAAACATTATAATCTAAGTGAAAATATTCTATGAAGCAGAAATCTATTTATCCTTAGAAGAAACCATTACTCTTTTCTTTCAAAATCATGAACACATTCACAATAGTATCTAGAAGATTTCCGTTTTTATATTAGTCAATGTCACATCTTCAAAATACTTCACCTATCCTACGTCAACTCATTGAACGAGAAGAAAAGTATGCATCATCGATTGATAATATAATTAAGTAAAATAATAACACATTTTTGTTTTATGTATCATAATTTTCATCATTTTATAGATTAAACAAGTTAAAGGAACTTGTTCGTCGAGTACTTATTCATTTTTCTGATTTTATCCATCATCAATAACAATAGAAATAATATTGAATAACGCTGTAATTTACACCTTTATCCAAAATGGAAAGAACGAATGAAAAAAAATTATTTACACACTACATACTAGAAGAAAAAATAATTCAATATTTATATACATGCGCAAAAAAATAACAAAATTGAAAAGGAAGGAGAGAGAGAAAGAAAGATAGACAGACGCACAATATTTGTCTTTGGTTCATCATCATCATCATTGTTATTTAAATTAGTTGCCAAATAAAAATTGTCATTTCAAACAAAATAAATAAACGAAACGGAAGAAATTTTTTTTATAATTATCACTGAGTAAATGCAAGAAAAATATAAATAATGAGATGATACTATTGTGTAATTGAATACGATTGTTTTTTGTCTCTCTCTGTCTGTCTGTCTTTTTAATTCGTTCTTTAACAAATACGTGTAGCAGATACTTTAATTGTACCTGTTGATGGTGGAGGTGCTGGTGGTTTAGTTGTTAATAAAGGTCTTTTTTGTTGTTGTTGATGAGTTCTTCCAATAGCAGTTGTTCTTAATGCTGTCGATGGAATAGTCGTTGTTGTTATTGAACGAGTTGGACTTGTTAATGTAAAATTATTTAATTCTTTACTAGAAGCTATTGTAAGTGGTCTTGATGTTCTTTGAATTTTGCTAAGATTAGCAGATGTTCGTGCTTTAACTGTTGCAGAAGCATTTGATCCAGTACTTGCTCCACTAACTGCTCTTGTTGCTGGTGGCATTGAATCAACAATTGCTGCAGTTATTGTATTCGAACGATTATTCATTAATTGTTCATTACCCATTAAACGTTCAATAGTAATTGGTGGTAAACGTGTTATTGGTTCAGAATTTTGTATATTAGAATTAAGAGTTGTTGCTGAACGATAACGCCACATTGATTGAGGTTGTCGTAATATTTGAGTTTGAGATGGTTGTGATGTGGATAAACTTATTTGAAGTGAAAGATTACCAACAGCTGTACCAACTAATGATATCTGTTGTTGCTGTTGTTGTTGATTTCGTTTTTCTAATGTTACCGATGTGGAAGTTCTTTCCATTTGTAATGCTGATACTTGAGATTTTCTCGGTGAATTTAAATTACTTGTAATAGGAATAGGATTCGTTGTACGTAAAGGTGTTACACGTAATAAACTATTTAATTTTATATTTGGTTCAGGTGTCGAACGAAATGGTAATGATGCAATACTCATTTGATATGATTGTTGTTGTAAGGAAGTATTTGTTGATGATCCTATCTGTAATGATAAACGATTTTGTGATAAAGAACGTGGAGGTAATGACGACGGTCTTAATTTTCGACGTAGTACAATAGAATTTTTTGCACAAACTTCTTTAGTATATCGTTGTAATAAGAATTGTTGATCATTGAGGAAGTGTTGAAATAAGGAAGAAGCTAATGAAATAATTATACTATCTTTTAAACATTTAATTGAATCTTGAGGATGTTTTGTACGACCACGTCTTGATAAATTTGATGAACAATCACCATTGTCATCATCATCATCATCCTCATCTGTATCAAATGGATCAATAGCACCATTACTAAAACGATCACCTAAACAAGTATTTGTTGCATCAGCATCATCGAGATCATCATCATCTTCTAATTCAGAATTATTAGTTAACTCTGAACCTTCAATCGAATCAATCGATGAACGACCAGACGTGATATCATCACCAAGAACCTAAAAATTAACAAAATAAAAATTAATTCTAATACAAAAGATTTCGATCAGACAATTTAATGAAGTATTTTAAATCTTCTCAATATTTTTACTTATCATACTTCTAAAATTTTACATAATCGAAATAGATTAACTATAAAATTTGTCAAGAATATTTTATTAATTTGAAAAAATTCTTTTATTATTATTTAATAAATATAAATAATTAACATGTTTTCTTTTTGTTGTTGCTAAGAGCACTTGACAGTTTTTGTTTTTCTTGATTAGTATGACACATATTACAATCATATAGAAAAATTCTTTTTTTTTAAGAAAAAAAGAAAAGATTGAATCAAAAATTTCACCTTGAAAAACACTTTGTCAATCCGAAATTCTATTTACAATAGTTTGAGTCTTAATTAAAAGTATAATACGTTGTTAAAAAACAAACTATAAACAATCTCAATCGTATTATTTCCATAGTTACATTGAATAAAAAAAAGTTTTTTTTTCTATCAACTTACATTAATTTCATTGAAATTGATACTAGACATTTTAAGATTAGTCGATGATTGTTCAAATAATAATGATGAATTTGCTGTTGTATCATATCTATTTATATCTTGTTGTCGATCAATAGGACATTTAGAACCACGAACTCGAAAATGTGGTTTACTTGACCATTCTTCACAAATTTTTTTAATAGATGAACGTTTAGGTAATTCTTCACCATATAGTACACTATCGATTTGATCAAATTCACGTCGTGATCGTCCACTTGTTTCACGAGCATCATCTTCGTCATAACCAGACAAAAGACTTGATCCACTTACTGATTGAGAACACATAATAATTGTTTTTTGTCAAAAAAAGAAATACGAATAGAACAAATGATGAAACTAAGAAATAATAAAAAAAAGAAATAACTAAAAATCTTTCGATCCAAGATTATCTTATACTTGTATTTATAAACCAAATAAGAGACTACATTATGACATGAGAAAATAAATCTAAAGCAAAATCATATATAAGGTTATATATATATATATTTTACAATAAATAACTCATTTTATTTAAAGAAATTAGAAGTCATCATGACAAAATTATTTTTTCGTAAAATGAGCGATGTATAAGTATGTATTGCATCTAAAGTTAGAAATAGCTGGGAATACATTAAAGTGCACGGAGTATGAAAGTGTATGTTTGTCATTAACAAAAACTGACTGGATGCATACAACAAATTGAAAATCAATTTATTTTTAAAGAATTTATGAGTTTTTACCGTTTAGAGAAAAAGAAAAATGTAACCCCCATTTCGTAAGAGTTAATGAAGAAATGTGGATAATCACTTATGACAAATCTTTTTTTTCCTTCTTTCTTCATTCTTCTGTTTTATTTGTCTTATTAAAATTGGACACCCCCCTCAACTGACAATTCATTTTCCAAAGGAAAATAAAAGAAATCTGAGTAGTTTTTTTTTCTTTTTCTTCGTCTCATTTTCATCATCCGATGTCTTGCTCTTGCCATTTTCTATCGATAAAAAATGTGTTTACTTAATTCAAATAAGCATAACAAACCATTGTTATGGTTCGTTTCGAAGAGACTACTTAGGATTTCTGATGTTGAAATAGAATAGAAACTAAAAAAATAAAATATATTTAGTTTGGATAAAAACTAGAATATGAATAATACTTATTTTGATATATTATCAGAATATTCTACATAAGATATTCATAATAGAGGTCGCATATCAACATGAATATTTCAATTTCTTAAAAATACAATCTTAGTCGAAATATAAAATAAAGTAAAAATATTCACTTGTCAGGTCTTGAATAAATCATCATATAAGAATATGACATATTTTGCCTAGATGCTTAACTGTCTAATACTTATTAATAATTATCTGATTATGCTCAAGGTGACATGATCTTTACTTCAGGCCGTTCATAAAGATCATAATGCTAAGTTTACTTTGAATTGTAAGCATTAATCGTGGACTTAGGATCTTCTCTTTTTAAATGAATAGAATTTCAGGTTGGATAGATTATTTTAGAAGTACGGACAGTCATCCGTAAGTAAATATATGCATTTCAGGTGAGATTTTATATATCTTAATAAAGATTTTGCTTGAAAAACGGTCTTTATCATAAAAGAATAAAAACTTACATACATTTGCCTCGAATGATAAGCAAAACCTTACTTCATGAATTTC